CGAGGACATTTACCGATACACATACTCGGCGTACGAGACGCAGAAGAAGTCGTCCTTTGCCTTCAAGACGGAGAACGCCCTGTTCTTCGACTCGCTCAATGTCCTCTCCGAGTCGGCTGACACCATTGGCTCGCTGAATGCGACAGGCTCGGCTGAGCTGTTTGATCCCAAGCTGTTTCCCGACCAGAGCGCCGTGCCAGACGCGGCCGAGCTCGAGACCAGGTCCAAGGAGGCCATTACAAACCTTGAAGAAGAGGAATGGGGAGCCGTGTTGCGCCGCCAGCGCAACACTCTGCTTCGTACCGCCATTGCCACGGCCAACGGCTCGCTCTTTGAACTGGACAAGGCGGCTGTCGATGTCAATGACAAGTTTATCAAGTACATCGAATCCCCGGAATTCAAGGAGACGTATCCCAATAGCGGCTGGCAAGGGGAGAAGATTCTTGCCTTTTTCAAAAATTGGGCAACTTCGATCCGCAAGCATCCTGAACTGGGTGTGGCCGGACCTGTAGGGCTACTTCTTGCCATACCCGCAGGGGATGACAAGGACTTTGAATACCCTGATATCCATACCTTTATCAACAAGAGAGTCGAGGAGACAACCGAGTATGTGAGATCGAAACCTCCGGCGCTGCCACGGGCGCTAGACGTTTCATTTGTTCTCGGGCAGTCCAAGGCACTTTTGAATCTTCCCAAGGACACGCTATCCCCCTTGTCCTTCTTGGAGGTTGAAGTGAGCTCGGCATCTGAAAAGCCCCTTTCACCACTATACCTCCAGACACTGGTGGTCCGCCACACGCGGGAGATTGTCGACGTCATGTACGGGCGCATGAAGGAATCGGACCTCAAAGACACCGACTTTGCCGTGCAAAATCCCGAGCTCCTCAAAAACTTCCGCCTCCTCATCGCCATGAAGCTCGGCGCGGTCCACGACGCCGACCGAGTCGCGGAAATCCAGAGGCGCCACCCCAGCGGCTGGGACCCCGAGCTGCTTAACGACCGCGGCCTTGTCCGCGCCATCACCCCGTATATTCCCCCCGTCCTGGAAGATCCCACCAGCCCCGTCCCCGTGTCTCACTACCTGACAATGGTGTCTGGCCTCGAGAAGACGCTCGTCGACGAGGCCCTCCAAGCCAGAGTAGCCAAGTACGTCGAGACACAAGACGAGGCCACCAAGAGCTTCTGGGAAGAGCAAAAGAAGAACTTTAATAGTCTCAAGACGATTGCGGAGAAGATTACCGGTGTGCTGGCCCGCCCGCCCTCCATGCCGGGCGACTTCCTGGCCAAGCACAAGCCCACGTGCGTCAGCAAGGGCCAGGACGAGAAGATGTGCCAGTACTTGGTGGAGGCGTGCTACTTTGCCGAGAACATGGGCGACGAGTTTGTCAACCAGTGCTTGGACGCGGCCGTGTCGCTTGAGAAGACGAGGGAGCACAAGGTTGAGCTGTGCGCCAAGTTCCCCAGCTACAAGAGCTGCGAGCTGGCCATTCACGACTGCGACAAGACGTACAGGAATAGCATGTACACGGTGCTTTTTGAGTGCGCGGCCAGGGCTGCCCCTGACCTCGAGGCAGAGTATGCCAAGATGGCGGCCGAGTAGATGACCAGAGGGAGAGACTTCATGCGAATTTGGAGCAGGGGGCACGGCTTGATTGGTTTTTTTTTTAGAAATTTTGACGAGAATGCTTTAGGGATGCAAATAGAATGGTCTAGTGGGACTTGATGGGCATTTTTGGCAGTTGTGCATGTATAGGTATATGTGACGGCGGCTGCAAGTAGCCCGACATTTTGAACTCTGACATTCCTGGTCTTGGGAAGCTAGTTTATGCAAGGTGTAGGCAACTTGATGCACATAAACTTGCGTTCATCTGCTTTTATGTGTGGTGCTTGAATTATTTTGAAATGTGATGGCAATACTAGAGACTCCCAATAGGCCTGGCCGGCCTCGTAAATATGCCCCAAAGGCAGAGAAGGCAAGAGAACGTGTACTTGTAAGACGTGAGCGAAGACGGCTTCAAAAGTCCTCTGCAGCACATTGGGGCGTCATTTTATCATTTACGCAGCTTGGAAAACTCAAAACACGGCTCCATCTCAAGGGATACTAGAAACCCTAATATAAAAGCTAGTAAAAGTACTTGAAAAAGATACAATACGTAGGGTAGGTGAGGGTTAGGGTTACCCAACCCTAGGGGCGATCGCATCGTAGGACAACGCCAGCTCATGTGTAATGCTGGGAAAACTCGCATATTTACAGCACAAAGTCATGGGCAATAGGAAACGCGGAGCAAGTAAAGCCAACCACTTATACGATTTGAATTGTTGTGCTCCTGTGCAAAGCATCCTGCCCCCCATCTTTCGAGAATGCTTCGCCATGCATTGCCCCTGGAAGCAACATCCATCCAATGAGAGTAAACCAACGCCTACTGTCAGGTACCGGCCGAAGAATCATCGGCATGCGGCATCCATGGAGTATCCAGACTTGATCCCCCTCTTCTGCCTTGGCGCTGTGGTGCAAGGTGCCCAATCTCCCATTTTCCGTGCCCGCCAAAACTCGACAAGAGAGACTGGTATATACCGGACCGAATGCCTCATATCTATCACAGGACACACTGGTAGTCCCGAGTGCGAGATGTCCCATGGTCAACTCGTCTTTTCCGTCATTCTCTGCCGCAATGCCACGTATATTGCGAAGCAGGCTCCTTCTCTCCTCCGACGTTGGTCTGTCCACCTGCCACATCTCGCGGTACCGTTCCTTTGATAGCCACGGAAACAAAAGCAACGTTACATGTTTCTTTTCGCACAGCGGTCGCTGAGGATCACTCGGCCAGAGTCGTGTGCAGTAGCTTTCCAGTATTGAGAACCACTCCAGTATTGGGAGCTTGTCAAAGTCTTGCCTGGGTGCGACAAAGGCGATTTTATCCAACAAGAGACCTTGGACAGACAGAACTAGACTCTCTGAATCAATAGAGGCCGCGCTTGCCGTGGTGCTGCCCGCAGCCTGGCTGGCATACACTTGGCTCCAATGAATGGTAGGGGCATTGGGCATCCAAGTCGGGATTGTATCGCCTCGACAAGCAACATCGACTGACTTTCTGCTGAAACACAAAAAGTCGAGACTGTTGTGATTCGACAGGTAAATGCTAAACACCTGCGAGTGGACTTTGACCACCGGAGCGTTGTAGTCGACTCGTACCTGGCTCTCGTCAGCCTGTGGAATAAGCCCTAGTATACCATAGAGCTGGTCTCGAGGCTCCGTCATATTCAGAGTACCTGACTGAAGGAATAACTGTAGCAATGATGAAAATGGTGGCTTGGAGATGGTGTCATCCTTCACTCCGTGGACCTGTTTCTTTTCGACAAAAGTTTTGCACCCTAGGGGCATGTTGTCTCGCTCACGAATAGACACGCCTCCCACGTCCTCTTGGCCATTCATGTATGTGCAAAGCTTCAGCAATGGACTTTCATGTGCTCGAGGTTGGAAATATGCTTGATTAACTCTTTGCTGAAACCCCAACAGCTGGTGCCCGCTGAATGTATCCCGATGGCAGTAAACCGTGACTTCTTTTGCTAAAATGAGCTCTTGCTGTATCCAGAGCCTTCGCCAGTAGGGATTTCGGAATATACCTGCAACCGGATACCAGTAGCTTGGATCGGCGAAGCTATCGAGCTCGATGCCTTTATCCAGGTAACAAAGACTATCAAACGAAGAGTCGCCAGCTTGCACGCTGTGGTCGAGCCAGGCACAGACAGCAGTCGCCTTTGCGAATATTACTCGCATTAGTTTTACCTGATGCGCCTTCTCGTCACTATCACGCTGGTTGATGCAGATGGCATCTGCCCAAAGAATTCGCGGCTTGTCTGGATAGCGCAGGTCGTCTAGTGCCTTTCTGAGGTTCCCAGCCACCGGAAATGCACAGCCGTTGATTGAAATATCGTATGTTGGCGAAGGACTTCCCCACGTGTAGCTCAGAGCCTCAAAGCCGGGGTTTTCGTCGACGCATGCGTGGGACAGGTGTCCTACAATTTCGCTCTGTGGTTTGCCTGGCTGTACTTCAAGTAGCCTGAATTGGGGCTTTCCGGTATCTAGGATTGCATACGGGAAATTGGCGGCCTCTTCTGGCCTCTTTGATCCATGAGTCGAGGGTATCCGCGGTCCCGAAATGCTTCCCTGTGTTGGGGAGCGCCTCATAGTGTCTAGCAATAAGGCTGCATGTGTCCATTCAATGGATAAGGGAAGAAAGTAAGGTGAGAAGATGGTACACATATATTTTGTATCTTGTATTTTACTTGCCGTGATGGAATGGAAGGAAGATGAGATTTCATGCATGCATGATCTCGGGAAGTTAGGCTGCGCTGAAGACGAGCGTTAAATAGGGCGAATCACGTGTATATGTATAACTACTAGCGGCCCTAATTATTATGCAAAGTATTTAATAATACTATAAAAGACGTAATTATTTATATCTTTAATATTATTTAGAAATAAGATTATAATAACCCTGGTTTATAATATTATAAAAGTTATTACTCCCTTGTTAAATTACTTATATTATAGTTTATAATTATTAATATAAACATGAAACTTTTATATTAATATGCAAGTTTATGTATATACCTATTTCAAACTCATTTATCAAGTTGCTTATAGCTCAACTTATAGGGGCTAGATTCCATATATATAGGTCCCGTTTCCGCTAATACTAGTAGAGTGAGAGTGTATATATTATTAACCGGCTAGAATATCTTTTTGGAAGGATACTCTGCCAATATTTGCTCTGAAAGACACGAATATGCGTCATTAAGTGGAAGGAACATAAAACAAGCACCGTCGACACCTAGCCTACTATATGTTAAAGCTAGCAAGGCAGACTACCAAGGCAAAACAACTCGATATACCACATCTTCATTGACCTTGCTTCCTTCCACTGAACCATGCGACTTGACTTGTAACCTCTTAAACTCCCAGTCTCAGCTCGTTCTGGCTGTTTGATACTGCTCACTCAGCGCCGTGTTACACCTTCTTGATATAACCGTGCAACACACTTTTGCAATTCTGGAGTCATCTTTTCGTTTTCTTTCAAGCCACATTGTTTTGCCAGCTCCCTAATTTTTGCAATCACAGCATCCAAAGCCGTCGGGCCTTCCTCTTCCTCTTCCTCTTCCCCAGTTGGGGTCGAAGGAATGCCAGCGTCACCGGGGCCAGTGGCATTCCCGACCAACTGAACCAGATCCCGACATTTAAGCTCTACGTTGAAAGGGGGACTAGAATCAGAGCCTCCAACGAATCCGTTGATAAAGTCGATGTAGCTGCTGACCCTGGCATATGCCGTGGGAGGATCCCAGCACTTCCCCCATGTCACGAGGCCGATTACATGTCCCGTCACGGGGTCGACAAGAGGACCGCCGCTGTCCCCCTCGCATGCATCCTTGCCATCGTCGCCAGCGCATATTATGTCTTCAACCGCGCCCAATTTGAGTTTCTCTGAACAGGCGCCGCGCTCGTGAATCGTAATATTCACCTTGCTGAGTTTGTCAGCAGGACCCGTGTTGCGACCGTCCAAGCCCCTTGCCTACTAGTCAGCGTTTTTTCTTTCCGACTATATCCTACACTGCGAAACTTGCATGGCACTTACCAGCCTGCGACTAATGGTATTCAGAACGGGGTCCGAGCCGCTGGCCGGTAGCGTTGCATAGCGAATCATGTCGCTCTCCTCAATCGGAGTTGCTAATTTCAAGATGGCAATATCATCATGACGCCGGATCGAGGAGTAACGAGGGTGTAACGCAGCGGATGCAACCTCCACTTCTACTCCGCCCTGGCGACTGTCCTGTGTAATGAGCTTAGTTCTTGTTATCCTTTGCCGGCTACGCCGAGGTGTGAGACCTCTCGGCAGCCAAAAGGGGGAGTAGACTTACCAGTGTTCCTGCTTTGACAGAGTCAAGACATCTAGCACAGTAAGCAGCAGTAAGAACGGTAGTGCTGTCTAGTAAACTGCCTCCGCAAACATGACTCCCGCCTTATCGTATACTAACAATGAATGGAAATTCACCGCCCTTGGCATATTCTCCGCCAATAAGTCTCTTGTGAATAGTTGCCGCTGATACTAGAAAAGTAGAAAACACAGCGGCTAGTGTAATCGTAATAACACGAACCATTGTAAAGGAGGCGGTGGGAAATCGCTAAAGAGAGATTTGTACAAGGCAAATGGATATAATAGCGCAGGCTAGTATTTAGTGCTAATGGCAAGTGTGGGAATGATTGGGACAAGCGGCTTGATGTAGGTGTCCTTGCACTTATATAAACGCGAATAAAAGAGACTGACGAGTCATACAATACAACGGCATTCTATATAATTCATGTCTCTGCTAGCACGTCATTCACGCCGCCGGCCGTACCGGTAGGGATGGAGCAGGGTTGGAAGACCGGGGAGAGTTGTTAAGTGGTAGTTCGAGTCCGGGGACGGAAATCATGACACATGTAGCGCGATGAAGCATCGAGTGTGATGACGAGGGTAAAGAGTGACCCGCGGCGCGGTGAATATTTTGGCCCAAGACCTGGTAGTGAGAAGCCGCCCAATTATGAATTGCATGGCACTTTTGCGGCCATGTAGGGGTCTTGGTCATCTATTGACTCATGCACACATGGATGAGCCCGCCCTCTCGGCTGCGTGGTAAGCAAAGCACCGCGTATTCTCTATTGCATTTCAATGCTATCGCACTAATAATTCGTCTGCCTGGCACGCACTTTGAAGAACATGACTGGGACTAGCCTTGTTGATAATATGCGGGGCAGAGGGGCCACAATTTATAAGTTAATTAAAATCTCTTATTAATATAAGTTGTGATAAAATTTATAATTAGTATACCCGGATAATGAACAGCTATTTATAAAAAGTGCTTTAATTAATAAAGAAGTCCCTGTATATAATCTATATAAACCTTGTTATCAAGTCATTCATAGCTACCAGACGCTTTGGGGATAGATTGTAGTCGACAGCTCCTAATTGTTGTAACGAGTCGTGATTCAGCCTCCCCCGGCCAACGCAACCGAGACTGTAGCCCCTTTATAAACGGGCCACGTAGACAGCTTCGAGACAATGAATTATCATCAATCCCCTCTCAACAATCTTCAAGAAATGGCGCCCAGCATTCTGTTGGGAAAGGCCCCTAGCTAGGGTTCCATTCCCGGCGCAGACATGGACTTCCGTCTTAAATCAAGGTCTACGGACTCTAGGCCATCCACGCAAGTCATAGCAAAGACTTGGTTGAACGCGCAACTACTTTCAAAGTCAATATTTCAGCCCAACACCAGAATGCCATATCCCACTACAATACTTGCGAATTCGCTATCAAAGTCATGGAAACAAAGCTCCAATGGGTCCTCACAACCAGACTTTACTCGGTCGACTATTGAAGAAAATTCTACATGTCCTGCTTTTGCCATGAGGACTAGACAAACGCCATGAGATACAATGACGTTTCCAATCAGAGCAGCAGATTCGACCCTGATGTTGCGAAACTTGTTACCGAGACCACAGGGCCAAACGCAACAACTCGTCATCGGCAGATCATGACCAGCTTGATCCGGCACGTACACGACTTTGCCCGCGATGCTGAGCTAACCCACGACGAGTAGATGACGGGCGTGGATTTGATCGACTCTCTAGGCCAACATTTCACTGCAAAAAGTCACGAGGCTTTTCGTCTACGTGACATGCTCGGACTGGGATCGTATGTTTGCGAGTTTGATGGAGAGTCAAGGCGCCTATCTAACAAGTCTGCAGCTTGGTGGATGAAATTAAGAATAAGACTGTCCCTTGCGGCAGTTCCAACTCCACGACCTCGGCGGTCCTCCGTCCTCTCTGGGCTCCGGACACGCCATTTCGAGAAAATGGCGCCTCCATCATTCATGATTCAGTACCAACTGCGCGTGGGCAAGATGCACGGCAAGGCTTTGGATCTCGCCACGGACACACCGATATCAGTTGCAATTGTTGCTGGGTGCATGTCAGTTGTTTTGCGCCCCAATCTGACAACATACGGAAGACGATGTCGGCGACTTGTACCATGCTCATCGCAGAAATCACCTGCACTGACCATGCATAGATGGCGCGCAAACTCCAGTCTCCGCTGAAACGACCGAGGTTGGCTTTTAAAAACCTATAGAACCCTCGTCTTTTTCGAGGTTCTTTGCAAGCTGCTCCGGAAGTTGATAGGACACGGTTGGTTCCTCCCGTGAACTGTTGTTCTCTTTGGCATGGCGTCTATTGGCACAGTCTTTATGCACTCAAAAAAAACTTTAATGCCTACAAGTACCTAGAGGTACTTGTTTGAGGGAGCCGGGCTCGGATCCGCAACGTTGGTACGTCATTTTGAGACGCGGGCAGGGGCGTTTGTTCAAGGCACTCAATCAAAGACTGGTCGCGCGTTTGACGGAAGCCAATGGCCTTGGCGCGCAAAGAGCAAGAGCGACCCCCTGCGCAGCTTGAAAGAGGCGCTGGGTCAACGTGAGGCCGCCGAGCTGTCAACTGGCCCGTGCCTACTGAGTACTTGCACACAGTACACGTAGCCGTTGACGCCAGAAGTACTGGTACGGCCCGCTGCGGGCTGGCGGCGGCTCCTGCCGAGACCTTTGTTTCAGCTAATCATGGGCCTCCCCCCGCTGTTCGACGGGCCAGAACGGGCATCACGGCCCCCCTCGCGGCGAGGGCTCGGAACGTGTGGTGCAAATATTCCTTTCAATCATCAACTTGGAGGTGGCAAAGGTCCTTGGTTTTCCGACAACATCCCAAGGCTCAAAGGTCTCTATAAATACAACGAGGAGCCCTACAGGCCCGAGGCAGCCACCGCCAAGGTCCGACTCGGCGGCTCTCGCGACGCCTTTCTTTGTTGTTGTGCAACCTTTGCGGCTGATGCCTTTGTTTTGGTCGTGGCCGTGTGACACGGCGACAAGAACCGGAGGCCTCAACCTCAAACACGATTCCCCCCCCTCCTGACAAACAAAATCAACGGCTTTGCAGCAAATGACACACCGACAGCCCAATTATCGTCAACCACGTACTGGCCCACTGTCAAAAAACAGGCCATCGCTTGCTGCTGTGACGTCTGGCCAGCCTGCACCGACACCAAATAGTTCCATGCGGGGGCCACAAACGCCATGTAGTATTTGCAAACCAAAAAGACAAAAAAACCCGTTACTCATGGCCCATTGCATGAGATGCATAGCCACAAAGGATCCAGTCTATGCGGGCGGGTGCGTCTTGGCGTACATGAAGCCCCCTCTCGGCTTGATATAAAAGTGCGGTTGGATTCGCCTTATTCCCGCACATTCGAGCATCACACCGCCGACCAAGAATTCCCAACCGTCCCCCGCTTCACACATCAGCAAACACGCGCAACATGTCCTTTTACGAGTCTTCGCGGAACATTTGGCTCGAGGACGGCCACATCCTCCACGCCGAGTGCGCCTACGGCGACGACGAGTGGCAAGAGTCCACCATTGATCTGAACGACTTTGTGGGCAACTCGGACGGCTGGTTCGTCTGGAACGGCGTCAGTAAGTCTTGCTTTTTACCTACCACTCACATGCCATCCTGTTTGCGTCCGGTGGTGTGCAAGTAGAGACGACTGACAACACGGCTCGTTCTTGATAGACTTTTCTGAATCTGCCGGTGACATCTCGGTGGACGGCACCATGCTGACCGCTGAGTTGAACATGATTGAGGAGGGAACCCGCGGGCGACAGGGCATCAATCTGAATGACCGCATTGGCAACGACAACGGGCGGCTGGTGGTGAGTTGTTCTCCTTACGGGGGTTGCGAGAGGCGGAAACTAACAAATTCGCAGTACATAAATCAGGACGACTAGTCAATAGAACCGCTGATTCTCTGCCAAGCTTGTCCCTTGTGATGCAATGCTTTATTTTACTGCCGTGATGGTTGATATGCCCCTCATTTATTGTACAAGAAGCCAGTATTCCAGCAAGCTAGAGCCAGAGTTGCCAATATCACAACCCAATTCACTCCCCAAAGTGGAGGAATCCATTCGTCAGGCCGTCACCTCTGTATCCTCTTGCTCCCATCACGAGGAACCACTCAGCAACACCACCAACAACAAGACACTGCTACTTCTTGGACGCCGCCTCATCATACAAGGCGCCGTACATCCCATACCACTTTTCGACAATGTCGCTCCCAACCCCCGCGGATATCATCTCGTCCCCCCTCTCCAGCTTCCGCGCCACCTCGCCCATAAACTCGTCCACACTCAGCGCCTGCGCATTCTTCTCCTTCTTGTTATCGTCGGGGTCCTCCCTCTCGCGGTGCAGGTCCGTCGCCACCGTGGGCGGCGCAATCTCGACCACGCGCACGCCCGACCCAGCCCGCCGCAGCTGCGTGCGCAGGTTCATGCTCCAAAAGTGCAGCCACGCCTTGGTGCCATTGTACACGGGGTTGATGACGGAAAAGGGCACAAAGCCCAGAATGCTCGACACGTTGATAACCACGGCGCCGGGCTTGGTCTGCAGGTGCGGCAGCAGCCCGAGCGTCAGGTGCATGGGGCCCCGGACGTTGATGTCGATTTCCTGGTCGGCCTTGGCCACAAAGTCGCCGTCCTGGAGGATATCCAGGGGCCGCTGGACGCCGGCGTTGTTGATCAGGCAGTCTAGCTCGGGGTGCTCGCGGGTGATGCGGCCCACAAAGGGCGAGATGTCGGCCGTCTTGCCCACGTCGAGGAGGTAGTAGCCCGCGGCGCCGACGTCGCGGGCCGCCGACTGTAGATTGGACTCTGTGCGGCCGGCGAGCAGGACCGTCTTGCCCTTGGACACGAGGTGGCGGGCCATGGCTTTGCCGATGCCGCCGCCGCCGCCGGTGATGACGGCGCAGCGAAAGTCGAGGAGCTTTGGCATGGCTGGGGAATTGATTTGTGTTTATGACGCGAGATGCTGACTTTGTTGTCGGTGAAAATGGTGCGGCGTTTAGCTTTTTTACTGATTATTTATGACGCAGAGATGCTGACTTTCTTTCGGTGGAAAAAGGTGAGGCGTTTGCCGTTTTACCGATTCGGCGGCCATCGTTGGCAGCAGACTGAACTGGCCTCGTCATCGAATTCGTATAAAGTCTGGGTCTTGGTGTTGACGTCACTGACTTTGAAATTCGAACAAAGGAAACGACCCAGGTCAGGCGCAGACAAGGTCAAAAATTATCCAGCAGACAAGTGGACCAGCTGCCTCGAGTACATGATCACTTCAGAGATCATGTATGTGTCATGGCAGGATCCAACGACGCCATAGAGTCATAGACGATTTGCCCTGTCTTAGACATTCACAGCACCGTAGTGAGATTCCAGCTTGCATAATCCAAGGGAGATCTATTCCCGGCAAATGGTGGAATATCAATCTCTTGACAAGATTATTCTCATCGACTATAGAAATAGGAGCTAGCATTGTTTCTTTTGCAGGTGCCATGTTTTTGTTTCTCAAGTCAAAAATACACGTCCCAGTCGGCATAATCATCAGCCAATCAGCAGCCGCGCCTGTCCACATTAAAACCCTCAAAACTTCAATGTTCCTACAACCCTGCAAGCTGGCCAGAAAATAAAACGCCCAAAATATATACAGATCCCACGCCACCACCACACTCAACACCTACTTGTTCTGGCTCAAAATAACATCCGCCGCCTTCTCGCCAACCATGTACGTCGACAGCGCGGTAAAAGTCCCCGGAATCCTAGGATAAACAGACGCATCCACGACGCGCAGGCCCTTGACGCCCCTCACTCGAAAACTCGAGTCCAGGACGGCCATGGGGTCGCCGTCCGCGCCGATAGGACACGTCGACGACGCGTGGTGCCCCCAGGCCGTGTCCCTCGCGTAGGCCTCGACCTCGGCGGCGGACCGGACCCCCGCGCCGGGCAGCACCTCGTCCACCCCGACGAGCTGGCGACTAAAGGCGTCGCGCGCCACGCCAATGGCCTCCCGGATGGCCGTCAGGTCGGCGGCGCTGTCGCCGCTCCCCGTGTCAAAGTAGTTGTACAGCACGTCGGGCACGTCGAGCGGGTCGGCGCTGCGCAGGCGCACGTGGCCGGCCGTGTTGCGCGGGTGGCCCTTGAGGATGGCCCAGGTGAAGACGTCGTGGTCGGCGGTGATGTTGTAGCTGTAGCCGGGGAAGTAGCCGCGGAAGTTGACGGGCCCGCCGAACAGGAAGGCGTCGTACTCGCTCGCGACCGACGACTTCATGAGCATGGCGGCCGCGAAGCCGTTGGACACGTAGGCCCCGCGGCCGGTGAGCAGGCCCGGGCGCCGCCAGCGGTCGAGGCACGGGTCGTTGTCGTCGCTGAAGGTGCAGCCCGAGAGGAACCGCCAGTCCGAGGGGAGCCGGCCCTGCACCGCCACCTCGTAGTGGTCCTGGAGGTTGGTGCCGACGCCCGGCAGGTCCTTGACGAGCGGGATGCCGAACTGCGCGAGCTCCGAGGCCGGCCCGACGCCGCTGAGCTTGAGGAGCTGCGGCGAGTTGTACGCGCCCCCGGCGATGATGACCTCCTTGGAGGCGGTCGCCGAGCCGGGGATCCCCTTGGCGGCCGAGCCGGACCGCGGGCTGGCGCGGTAGAGGTAGGCGCCGTCGAGGAACTCGACCCCCGTGGCGCGCGGCTCGTCGTCGCCGGACTCGTCAAAGACGACGCGCGTGACGTGGCAGTTCATGCGCACGTCGAGGGGGTACTTCTTGGAGCCGTCGGGGTTCTTGGCGTCGCGCGTGGCGACGACAAACTCGCGCGAGCCGTAGCGGCGGCCGTCGCCCGCGGAGAGCGGGATCTGGAAGTAGCCGCCGTCGCGGTCGCGCGACTCCGAGTCCTCGTTGGCGTCGCCCAGGGCCACGTCGAGCAGGTTGGGCAGCAGGCGCGAGTAGTTGCCGAGGGCGAAGCTGCCGCCGGCAATCAGGCTGAGCAGCTTGGGGTCCTCGAGGGGCAGGGTGATGGGCGCGCGCTCCGTGTCCAGCCAGCCGTCGAAGCCGTGGCCCTTGGCCAGCAGCGGCAGCAGGTAGCGGTTCTTCTCCATGCGCACAAAGTACTTGCGCATGTTGTCGGGCGCCCAGGAGGCGTCGCCCGTCAGCGAGGCGACGTACTCAAAGTCGGAGCGGTGCGGGTAGATGGCGACGAGGGCGTTGTGCGCGGTGCAGCCGCCGAGGGTGCCGGTCCGGGGGTACAGCGTGCCGAGCATCTCGGAGGCGGGCACCGCGGCCCCCGCCGGCGGGTTGAGCCCCGTGTACAGCCTGCCCTCGGCCGTCCGGTACGACGTCTTGTAGTCGCGCGCCTGCCGGGCGTCGTCGGCGTAGTGCCGCACGTAAAAGTTCCACGCGAGCTTCTCGTCCTCGGACGCGCGTGCCGAGTACGCCGGCACCGTGTAGTTGGGGTTGTTGCCCTGGTCGTCGCCGGCCTCGATGAGGAGCGTCTTGTGCCCGGCCAGCGCGAGTCGCGCGGCCAGAGGCCCGCCGCCCGCCCCGGACCCGACCACGACGTATTCGTAGCCCGTGAGGTTGGCCGCCGCCGCGAGGGAGCCCAGCAGGGAGAGGCCGGCGAGGGCCGCTTGCCACGAGGAGCGCATCATCATCTTTGGTTGCTGCTGTTGATACGCCGCAAGAATGGTCTCGTGGTTGGCAAGAAATCGGAACGGCGCATCTACATGTGTATATATATATATTTATATCTGCAGTCGTATATATACTCACCCACGCTACGACCAGTGGCTTGCCAATTCAGACGCACATTCCGTTACGAGCCATCGCGTCGCAAGCGTCGCCCACGCCCGGTTAGTCCATGTATAAAGCAAGGGTGGCAATACAACCACACGCATGGGTCGTGATAATCTACCAGAGTCCTAGGCAGCTAGACCAGCCCGCTAGTGCCTCCATCCCCAACGCCAGGCGTGGTCAATAGCTTATCCCCAAGCACGAGCCCACGTTCCGTGTCCGTGGGCAAATCGTACAACAAACACACACCGACATTCCGCATGCCCAGAAGAGCCGCCCATCACGACGGTAACCTCTTGGCCATGATGCCATCCGCCGCCATGGGTCCCAGCCCTGTGTCCCCGCGCGCCGCCGCCGCCGCCCGATCGTCGGTCCATGCAGCAAAGGCTAATCACGAGACGTGAGGCACATTTTCCGGATCCAGCCCCCTTCAGGCAAATCACAAGCTTGCCCGGCGCGGCTTCAGAAACAGAGACAGGGACATGCCAGCCTCGGCTATGCACAGACGGGCGCCTGCTGTCATGGGAGATAGAGGAAGAATTGGAATTCCCAGGCGGACGATGCCATTTCCGTCCTGGGATGCATCCGAACCACGGGCGGCGCCTCGACAGGAGCAAGGATTATCGCCTTGCCTCCGCTGCCAATGCAACCTTGGTCATTTGCTAGCTAAGCCACGCGCTGGGAAAAGAGACGATTAGAGTTGGGCGGGACAGAAAAATACCGGGGAATGGGATTGAATTATGGGCTGCAGTGGCAATGTTTACACGGGCAGCCAGACGTGTGTCGTCTATCGGTGGCAAAGCGCCGTGCGTAGCGGAGAAGATTGCCGCAACTGACTGAGTCGCGTATCTTATCCGATCTTTTACGGAGTTGTGCTGATCGGGATGTCTCCGATCACTATGTGCGCAGTGACCTCGTCCAAGTCGCGGAGGTCTGCTCCGTCCGTCTGGTAGTACATACTACAGACACTCAGCCGCAGACGGAGCGTGAGCGGCCGCAGGCATCAATTTAATGGGCCGTCACGCCGCGGCAGCAGCGCTTGCAACGAATTGGGCGAGGTGCGAGACCTAGGGATCCGGCAACGACCGGTGATGCAGACAAAGGCTCGAGACATTATTACGTGCGTCCGTGGTATGACGCTTTCCGTACATGTACCTCGTTTAGGGTGCATCTTGCGAGCGGCGCCGCGCTTCAATCTTCACGTGGTGCCGCCTGTCGCCTCACGACGCAAATATTCTTTACGGCCTAAAATCTAGGGACCTTTGCCACCCATTCGCACACATGGGCTACTAGCCACTAAGCATGTAAGCGTCAACGTGGTTTGCAATGTACAGGCCTTCTGTAATCCGTCTACGAGACCGAGCCTCGCAAACACCCCCCCGTCCATGCGCCCATCTTCCGTGCCCATGCTGCATGTACTACACGATAAACAATAGTGCCCCTGAATTCAAACGCCCCTTGTCTACATTAAACTACAAGTAGCTGTTTTGCCAAAAATGGTTGCCGGCCGCCCCAAGCGTCAACCTTATGCATCCCCCAGCATGCCGCTCTCCATCAAGCTCTGATAAAACTCCGGTTCTAGGAACGTCTTGACGCTCACATCCTCGCTCAGCCCTTTCCGTCTTCTCGTCTTGAGCACGAAATCTCTGGCTGTCGCCTGTGCCGATGCCGGCTGCAGCGGCCGGATGATTTGCTCCCGGTCCAATGGGTCGCCGGGTACAATACTCCAGTTATCAAACACCAAGCTGACCATGGAGCTGCCCTGCGTCTTGATCCGGAGGTCCGTCTCGAACCCAAAACTGTCAATCACGGGAATCAGGCCGTTGACGCGATACAGGGGCGTCCCGGCCACGGGGCCGTCGGACAATACATGGCCCCGACGTCGCGACAGCACATTGTACACCTCGGTGTGCGAGTCTTCGGGCCCCGTCACCGACACGGCGTACACGGGCTCCATCAGCCGTGGAGACGCCATGAGGAACGACGAGTAGCATGCGCGTCGCGACGTGGGAATGATCTGGCCGCCGCCGCGGGAGATGGCCTCTCCTGCTAGTAACACGTCCGTCACTTTGAATTTTGTATTCCGAATCGCTGGTCAAAGTCAGTAGCAGGTCCTAGACCACGCCGAGAGAGGGGGGGATGAGTTTGGGGGTGCAGCCTACGT